GTGGACCTGCAACGCATACTGCAGTTCGTTTCTCCAGCTGAACTGGAACGATATGAAACTGAGCAGTTCAGGCTCGAGGCAGAGGCAGAGGCCATTGCTATGCGCACCGAGGCCGAAGACCTGGCGCGTCGCCAACTGCGAAAGAATGCCAAAGGGCCAAACGCCAGCAAAGGGAGCCGCATGCTCAGCGCGCTCGCCTTCTCTGTAGAGCCGACCCCACGTTCACGGGGTCGACCGAGAGCCACACGCGGAAAATGCAGGGGAAGGGCGAGAGGTGTAGAGCCAACAAGAGGCCTCGTCGTAAGCTCCCAACAGCTCAAGAACGACATGCACGAGCAGCTGGTAGACAGCGAACCTATGGTGTTCGATCGTACAACCGAACACATCGGACAACCCACGCAGACATCGCCCAACACCACACGCTCAGCTTTTGTCGCCAACAGCGCTCTTTCGGTATCACCAATACCCAGGAGAGTATCCATCTCTGTCCCTCGACGGGAACTTTCAGAAGTTTCCGAACCTTCCGAACCAGAAGATGTGGACTACTTAGCGCTCAGCGACAATGATGCAAAATCTACAAGAGGCGACTTACCATCGCTCGCAATCGAGGTTGGGAATACGGGCAGCAGTAAAGATCGTCCGTTCTCTAGCCCATCCGGGATCGAGAGCACTCTTCCATGTCAACTTCATCCCATCATACCCGCTTTTTCACCGTCTGCTGATAACGTGCTCCAAGAAGCTCCAACGGCAGCTCCATTTTCCGCGCGAGACTCTGGCTCCCCAGCTACATTGGATTCCAGGGTGGCGGACGTCCTTCTGCAGACAGCGTCTTCCTCCAATTATTCAGCGCTTGCTGCATCAGACCAAGACGACATAATACCCTCACAACCCGCTTCGCCGCAATTTAAATCGGACGGATACGTCGGCAGCCGAATAACATCTATGCGCACATTGTATCCGGGACAACAGTCGCTCAAACACAACAACGAAGACGATGCAGAAGCGGATGCAACGGAAGAGTTTGCTGTAGAGGCCATCGTGGCGCATTTTCACGAGCACGAGAAGAACTACTACCTCGTCAAGTGGGAGGGATACGAAGACAGCCATGATTGGCTTCCTGAAGAAGATCTTGAGGGCGCTGCAGACCTGGTCACTGAATACAAGGAGCGGATTGGATGGAGGAACAAGAAAGTCGAAATAAGATGACATGATGTAACGAATGGGTTGAATGTAGATATGGGCTTCAATCTCTTAGTTGGTCGTCAGAAGACCAGGCATGTTGCCATGTCCCAATGCCTCATCTGCACCGTATCCATGTGCCTGCATCAGACGTTTCGAATTCCATCCACAGGGCCAGTTGAAAGAGGAGTGCGTCTCGGACAGACCCGTGTGTTGATCTGCTTACGTATATTGACTTACCTCCCTTGCTTGTTTCAGATCTGATAATGTCGTCGCATGATAATGTGGTTCGTGGGACAACAAAGCTCGTCCCGGTGGACTCATCAACATCGTAAGTTTGCCACACTGCATGCGAATAAGATCGTCATACCGCGTCGTGCTCCTCATCTATAAGTTGGCTTGCATGAGAATTTATTCAATGAGTGAAGATGTAGTGTTGCCGAACAAGGTCCACGACTTCACATCCAAATTATCAAGGTTGCGTCGTTGGTTCTTGCACAGAGAGGATCGCACACCTTGCACAACACGCGCACGTTAACCAGCTGATCTCGTAGGCTCGATGTTTTGCTTCGCGGAATGTGCGTCTGCTACCAGTTCTTGCTTGATCGCAATGTGACTAGAAGCTTCTTCCTGGTCGAGGTTCACCAGCGCAGTAACTGCGGTAGATAGGTCCGGAACTATCGGCCTTAGTGGTGGGCGATTCGGCAGGGTTTGCCAATATGCGTATAAGTTAGACGCCGACTTGAATCGTCTACTTCCTCCTACGCTCACGGATGCTGTGCAGACTTTACTCTTATACGGGTCCTGTTGCACTAGGCTCGGAGAGTCGATTTGCAGATCTCTGACCGAAGCAAAAACGTTGCGAATTACATAACCTATAAGACGTCTTTTTGAAGTTCTGAATGCAGCAGACTAGGCAAGTGTCTAAGTTGATATAATTCTGTTAAGGGCTGGAAACCTTTTGTTTTGTAAAACAGACGGAGAAAAGGAAAACTCTATTGCGCATTCGAGGCATCGACTCGGGGCACTTCTCTCGCTCTCTGAGCAGTTCGATACACTAACACAATGTCCTAATAGAATTGATACTATCATCCAGCAGCAGCTGGACCACACACTCCCCAAAAGTCGTCAAACCTTTGGGTGCTGGCAAAGTGGTAATTCTCTCGGATGTATAATGTTGAAAACTTAGGATCGTCATTCTGATCATTCAGAAACACATTTGGCATCCTCGATCATACGGATACATTTACTTCCAGGACAAACGCATTCGTGCGTAGACGCTATCGTTAATATTTGTTGGTCCTTGCCTATACGCAACCGATATGCTGGTAGTCGTCCCTTGCACAACTTGCGACGTTCGTTCTCTACCCGAGTCTCTACTACTATGTGATCTGGGTTTATACATCCTGGTTGATGATATAAATGACTAGCATGGGCGCTTTCGTAAAGGAGGCGTCGGCGGTCTTCTTGGCTGCATTTATAGTTAGCCTACGTGAATAGCATGCAGAAGCGTGTCTGCCACCTGGTTGATGACAGCTCTTGGTGACAGATACCTATGTAAAGTATCTAGGTGTGCATGTGCGCCTATGGTAAAAGAGCAGCTACTTACGATTTATACCCTATGACAACAAGTCGAGCAGCGGACTGTGCAACCATGCGATCGAATCTTGGTGTACCGCTGGAACCCCTCTTACGGGTACTGATTGGAGCAATTTGTATATAGCCGTTTCTCTGAGCCGAAAATTAGTTCTTTTCTTGACAATACAAGGAACAGTTATTCGCTATGCAACGCGATACGAGATCACGGAATCTCACCTCCCGATTCTTGCGCTTGCGAGGCAAGATGCACCCTGCACAATTTGTTTCCGCTTCGAGGTATGCCTGCCCGGCATTGTTGTAACCTTTGTGCAGTCTACCCAGGGTAGTGCGCGCGTTGTATGGCGAACAAGCTTCGAGTTGTGTCCATGCGCGTCCCTTTTCCATGGCTTGGCTCGTGGAATAGAAAGTCTAACGTCTGCAGTGTATTGTTCGAGAAGTCGTTGCATGTAAGAAGCCACCTGGGCAAATAGCACTAGAGGTTACCTAGGTACCCATGTATTAGATCATCCCGAGGTCGCATCGTAAACAACAACACCACGCGAATAACATTGAGATGATGACATCATAAGCCGCGGGTCGCCATCATGATGCCGCCATCACCGTCATGTATCGATATGAAAGGCGCCGCATCTCTCCCTCTATCGTGGTACCTAGGTAGCGAATGGGCTTGCGGGTGCAGATCTCCCTTGGACGTCCAGGCAACCAGACTTTGTGTTTGATCGTGACGTGTGAACCATGATCACTTTGGCCAAGGGATTTCAACCACACGAACATGAAAACTCATAGTGATGCAGAGGAGAATGGTTGGACAAAGCTTGACGTAAGGGTAGATCTTGGATGTCCACCACGAGTGCCAGGGGATGACAAATTCGTGACGAACCGTGCTTACACAGTATCAAACATTAGCAGTGATGGTCTAAGTTGATGTATACGTCAAATATATTGTTCGCGCGACGTGACACGTGACGCGATGTCTCCAGGGTTCAGCCGAGGTCGTGGCTGAGCTGCGACATGCAACAACACAACACAGCGGCCACCGTCACTCTTGTACGCGACACAAGCATGTCGTCTTCTACGCGCTACGCCTACCCCTTTGCCGCCTCTCCCGACATCATTCGCTCGCACCAGAAAGACGCCTACTTCTCCGGCGTGCTTCTCGATCAGCTCTCGACGCTGTTGCGCAAGCTCTATGGCGCGCGCACGTCGCATACGTATGCGTCCGAGACGCGTGTAGCCGGAGAAGTCCTTTACCTCGGTCTGACGACGCTGATAGGGAACCGGACCCTGGGCGAGGAATACACAGACATTGTCCAGGTGGAAAGCGAAAGCGGACGCCTGCCGGCGCTGGGCCGCAGAGCTGGATACATACTCGGCTGCATCTTGGGGCCATATGTGCTCGGGAGGGCATTGCCGGCCTTGAGGCGGCGAGTGCGCGCAAAGCTCGAGGCGAATTTGCGGTGGCATGCACGACAACAGGCACGGGCACAGCATCAGGCACAGCAGAGTGGGAGCAAGACACAGATAGGGCGACCGTTGGGCATGCGCGTACAAAACTACCTACTCCGGAACCTCGACACCATTACATCGCCATCACCCGTGTACGCTCTCTCGTTGGCAACGTTTTACTTCTCCGGGAGCTACTACCACCTCTCAAAACGGATATGGGGGCTCCGGTACATCTTCACGCGCCAGGTGACCGAGGGCGACAATCGCGCAGGCTACGAAGTCCTGGGCGTATTGCTAGTCCTACAGATGGCTGTACAGGCTTACCTACACGTGCACAATACTGTCACCTCTTCGACAGCGGCAGTGGGTGGCGGCCACCCGCAAGGCACGTCGGCCATTGTCGGTGGCGGCGCAGAAGTGTCTCTGGATCCCAATGCTTACAGCGCCAACAACGCGCTACTATTCGACGCAGCGTCGGCGGTGCCCATAGCGGCGCCGTCCGACGTGCAAAAGTGGACACAGACACCAGCGTTGGACAAGGCAAGATACGAGCTGGAGGGGGAGGAAACAATGGGATGGATTGGCGGCGGCAATCGGAAATGTACGCTGTGCCTGGAAGAGATGAAGGATCCGAGTGTGACGACGTGTGGTCATGTCTTCTGTTGGACGTGTATCGGGGACTGGGCGCGGGAGAAGCCCGAATGCCCGCTTTGTAGGCAGACGTGTCTAGTGCAGCATGTGCTCCCGCTGAGGGGGTAGACGGGTGGCGTGTACAATCACAATATCTTCTCGGCCTCATCTATCAGTCGCTCTACCTGGAATGCGCTGTCTCCGCGGGTGAACATGTCGAGAAGCTGGCTGCGGCCCTTGCCCTCTTCCGTCTGCACGTAGAACTTCTGCATGCACATGACGAGCCATCTGGCGTCGTCGACCGATACGCCCCTGTTCTCAGTGACCAAGCCCTGGCCCAGGACCAAGTTGTGGGTCTCGGCGAGCTCGTGGTGGAAGGTGACGGTGGTGTGGGGACTGGCGAACTCGCCCCTGAGCTTGAACTCTGCCAGTGTCGTGAACATGAGCGTGGTGGTATCGACGTGCGGGTGGGAGAACTGGAGATAGTGCAGCTCGGCGGCTTGCTGCGTCTGAGGCGGCTGCTGCGAGGCCGATGGGGCGTCGGCGGGTATCTCGCGGGGGACAGGGAGGACGAACGAGGGGTGCTGTTTGGCGCTGCGAAGGAGCTGGGAGAAGGTGGTGGCGGGGACAGCGAAGTGGATGCTCTGCGGGTTGGCAGCGTGGCGTAGGCGCCACAGGGCCTGGACTTCCTTGCTGGGGAGCGCCTGGACTTTGGCGAGATCGAGGAACGAGTTGAGCGTCTTGATGCCCGGCGGCGGGGCCGTAGGAGAGCCTGGCGCAGCGGGCGGCGGCGGCGGAGGTGAGGGCCAGGGAGTCTCGGGCGGCGGCGTCAGGGGCGCGGTTGCGCCGGGCACCATGGCCTGCTTGCGCAGCTCCTCGATCTTGTCCTTGTACTGCTCCTTGAGCTCGTCGAGGTCCTTGAGGCCCTGTTGGCGCGCCTTGTGCTCGAGCTTGTCGCGGTACTTGGCGAGGATGCGCTCTTGCGAGTCGTGCGTGGCGAGGAAGCGGACGTCGTGCACCTGCGCCCAGCGGCGCTGGACGGCGCGCGGGCTGGCGAGCGGCTGGCGCAGGGCGTGACGCAGCGTGGGGAGCAGCATGGTGGGCATCGAGGAAGCAGCAGCGGGGGTGCAGAGTGAAGGGAAAATGCTGCGACGACGACGGCGGACGTGCGCCCATGCCCGCCGCTAGCGCGCGGGAGTAGCCACGGCGCCAATGCTGCTACTGCGACAGATCACGGCATATCGTACATCGCATATCGCATATCGCATATCGCATACCGCATATCGCATACCGCATCGCGCACCGCGCATCGCGCAGACCGCCGACCGCCTATCCATCCCGCCTCCCCTCGTCCGCCTCGACGGGCTGCTGCCAGCGGGCATGGGCGCAGTCAACAGCAAGGCCGGCGACGCAGGCGCCCTCTATCTGCGCGACCAGACTCGATGTAAGCCGCCGCCTCGATCCAGCTCGCCCGCTCGCCCGCTCGCCCTGCTAACCCTCGCGTGCAGTCTCCGTCGCCGCCCTCACCATCACCAACGCCCGCAACCGCACGCTGCTCCACGTCTCGCCCAACGCCTTCCCCGCCGCCCGCTATGCCGCCAAGCGCGAGCCGGGCGACGACGCCCTCATCGACTTCGTCCAGGACCCCGACGCGCTGCCCCACGCCGATGGCCCGCCCGCCTTCCTGCTGCGCCTGCCCAGCGACGACGAGCTGCTCTTCCACTTCACCTTTGTCCTGCGCCAGCACCTCGCCGTCCCCGCCACCTACACGCCTCCCCCGACTGCCCACGGCGCCCCCACGGGCCTCGTCGACACCCACATCCATGGCCTGACGTTTGTCTTTGCCTCGAGCGAGCGCGACCTCGACAATCTCGTCACGCGCGAGTTCCACGCCAACCCCAACCTCCACAAGAACCCCCAGGTCGAGCTGGTCGGCGACTACTCCACCGCCGGCCACTCGTCGGTCCAGTTCCAGTGGTCGTGGAAATGGACTCCGCCCCGCGCCCCCGAGTCGCGCCCCGGCGGCTGGCGCACCAGCTGCAGTGTGTGTAGCCCGCCTCGTCTGCCACTCCGTCGCCGCAACTGCTGACCCCCTCCAGTTCGTCGAGTATGACCAGCGCGCCCACCGCCTCGAGACGCTGGCGAGCTTCACCGTCTGGGTCCAGAGTCCGTACCATCCCCCGCCCTGCCCCCAACATCCGCTGACTACAACAGACACGCCGCGCCAGCTGCAGAGCCCAAAGTCGCCCTCGCCGCGCCTCGAACTTGGCGTCCCTCCCCGCCTGCGCGTCCCCTCGGCCCAGTCGATAGAGTCTCGCGTCAGCGACTCGGCAGGCGAGGACCGCGAGTGGGACACGATACCTCCGCGATCGCCCATCTGCGAACCCATCCCCGAGCACAGCCTGGGCCTCGTACCGAGCCACACCACCACACTGGCGAGCGGCACCGCCTCAGTCAAGCTCGACGTCTCACGCCCCGGTGAAGACCTCAGTCAGACCGACGATGGGCCGCTGTTTCGCGCCACCATGAAGTCACTCGAGCAGAAGACGGGCAACATGCGCACCAGGTGGAAAAAGGTCCTCAAACGCGCCGAGTCCGCCATGGAGGCCCAGGTCGCATGCAACAATGCCATGGCCGACCTCATGGACGCGCTCAGAGAGGCCTCGTCGTCCAATGCAAACGCAGTGCAGCCGGCCATTGACCACTACTTTGACAAGATTGCCAAGGAGATTCTGGGCTACGAAAAGTCCAATTCCACAAACATCCAAAAACTCATCATTGATCCCATATACAAGCTTTACAATATCGACATCAAGCAGGCCGAGACGAAACGCAAGGACTTTGAGGAGGAGAGCAAAGACTACTATCAATACCTAGGACGATATCTCGGCCAACGGCAAGACTCACTGAAGGAGAAGAAGCGCGCCGAGACCGACTCAAAATACCAAGCCAAGAGGCGCAACTTTGAGCTGAAGCGCTTCGACTACTCCTCATTTATGCAGGACCTGCATGGAGGTCGGAAAGACCAGGAGGTGCTCTCCCACCTTACGCAATATGCCGATGCCCAAGCCAAACGCTATCTTGAGACGGCGAAGAAGATTGAGACCATGCTGCCGCACCTAGAGGCCCTGAGCTGCGAGGTCAAAGAGGCAGACAAGGAGTTTCAGATCCAGAGGACCGAGCGCGAGGAGAAAAGACGAGCGCTGGAGACGATTAAAAAGACTTTCGATGAGGTACCCGTGCCCTCCCTCACATCTCCCGCAGCATCAACAGGCAGTGTGCCGAAAACAACGTCGAGGTCAGATCCAGAGCCGCCTCCTGGCCGCAAAGGCAGTCTTGTACCCATGTTTCAAAGCACAGTCATGCCGCCCCAGACTATCTCATCTACAAGCATTCCCTCATCCATAGCGTTACCGCAGAGCCCCGAGGCTACCAAGGCGAGCCTGGCCATGGCGGCCCCGCAGCCGGACAAGTTCAAGGGAATCAGAGATCTCGAAGAAAAGGACCCCGCTGCAATGGCCGAAGCTGGTTCGGGTGCGCACCGCAAGGAAGGTCTTCTGTGGGCCCTCAGCAGGCCCGGAAGCCATGTGGATCCCAAGGGCTTGAACAAGCAAGCCTGGCATAAGTAGGTATAGCCTCTTTCAGTCGGAAGCCTGCTGACATTATCCAGGTTCTGGATCGTCCTTGATCAGGGGAGGCTTTCAGAGTACACCAACTGGAAGCAGAGTCTAGAGCTGCACATGGAACCAATCGACCTCCGCATGGCCTCAGTAAGGGAAGCGCGCAACGCAGATCGCCGGTTTTGCTTCGAAGTCATCACCCCCCAATACACGCGAGTGTACCAGGCAACCAATGAAGAAGACATGAAGTCGTGGATCAGTGCAGTCAACAATGCTTTGCAGACAGCTGTTGAGGCGACAGGAAAATCGGATCGGCCATCAACAGACTCGCTGCCTGGACAGACGCACCGAGATATTGCATCAGTGCTCACGGGTAAGAGTCCATCAATGTCAAGTCATCGAAACACGTACGGCTCCAAGGCACCGGCGCGGCATGCCACAGTAGGTGATCGACCTGGCGGATACCGGCGAGAGGAGGCGTTTGGCGATGAAGGTAAGCTGCTTAAGCAGGTAAGAGACGCGGATTCCAGCAACAAAATGTGCGCAGATTGCGGTACGGAGATCAAGGTGGACTGGGTTTCCATCAACCTCGGCATCATCATTTGTATCGAATGCAGTGGCATACATCGGTCACTCGGCACCCACATTACAAAGGTGCGTTCTTTGACTCTGGATGTCACGTCCTTCACTCCCGATATCATCGAGATACTGCTCAAGATCGGCAACCGCGTCAGCAATTCCATCTGGGAAGCAAGACTGGAACCCGGGCTGAAGCCGGGGCCAATGTCGACAAGAGAGCAAAGGCTGCATTTCATTACTTCAAAGTACGCCGATCGGACCTACGTAGCACCCATAACACCGAACATGTCCCACTACGCAAATCCAGAGGAGACGCTTCTAGCGTCGGTTAAGAAGAACGACATTCAGAACGTGCTCTACGCTCTAGCTCTGAGGGCAAATGCAAACGCACGCGACCGATCACGAGGCACACACGCCGTGTTTCTAGCGCTTGCAGCCGCCGACCCAGCATCTCCTTCAGCGACGGCATCACCAGCAAGCTCGCCAAGCTCAGCGGCTCGCCCAGGCACAGCGCAGCCTAGCCGCAAAGCGTTCCCCGTAGCGGAGCTGCTGCTGCAAAACGGGGCCGAGCTGCCAATGCTGCCAGCGCCCATTCCCCTCGGCCACTCGGCACGAAGCTATCTTGACTTCAAGGCAGAGCAGCGTGCTGGCAAGCGGCCGGCACCCATGGTGGGCAGTCAGGCCGCACCCAGCGCAGAGAAAGCTCCGTCTTTGCCGCCCATCATGGCGGGCAACGGCAGCTCTCCGTCGGAACGAGCGCGCGAACGGGATGCGCGGCTGCAAAAGCGAGTCTCGGCGAGCGGAAGGTTGGTCAAGACTCCGAACGTCGACTTGAGTGAAGGTAAGCGCGGCTCGTAGAGCTAGCCGATGCTTACATGTTGTGTCTTGCTGTAGTGTCTACCTTCCCTGGGCGGCGTGCGGCCTGGTGCGATGGGCGTCAACGGGCTGAGGGTGTCCTGGTGCATGTGACGAGACGGATGGGGGCAATCTAGTGCACGTTGGATCAGGCGCATTGCGGTTGTGTTGGATAGACCATGTTTCGCGGGCGGCAACTGGTTTTGTTTGGGCGTGTTGTGTGTGTACTGTAGTGTAATGAGTAATTCACGACGTGGCCAGCCTGCGAGCCCGACGGGCGTGACTGTGGTGAAGTGTTGGCGCGGACCTCGCATGGAGCTAACGGGCCCGTGGACCCCACTCGAGGGCTAGCGCGCACCAAAATTACCTGGGTCGCAAAGTTATCCAAACCGCACCCCGCCGCTGTATTGTAACTACGACCGCAACCATCACCGCAACCATCACCGCAACCATGGCCTCGGCATACTCGAACCTGCCCATGGACGGCGACGACGAATTCGACGAGAGCCAGATCGACTTTACCGACATCGAAGATCAGTTCCAGGTGCGGCTCGACGAGGGGCTCGACGCCTTTGTCGTCATCGACGGGCTGCCCGTGGTGCCCGAGGACAGCAAGGCCAAGCTCGTCAAGTTCGTGCTGAGGAAGCTCAACAGCGTGGGCAAGGTCAAGGACGACGGCGTGCACATGCCCGTCGGCGAGGCGGGCAAGACGGAGGGATATGCCTTTGTCGAATACAGCGCGCCCGCCGAGGCCGTCGCGGCGGTCAAGCAGCTCAACGGGACTGCCCTCGACAAGAGGCACACCATGGCCGTCAACAAGCTCACCGACATCGACCGCTACGGCAAGGAGGGCCGCATCGACGACGAGTACCACGCCCCCGAGATCCCGCCCTTTGAGCACAAGGAGCACCTGCGCTGGTGGCTCGGCGACCCCGACAGCCGCGACCAAATGGCCATGTACCGCCAGGACAAGGTCGGCGTCTTCTGGAACGACAAGGAGGACCAGCCCGAGCAGGTGGTCGACCGCGAGAACTGGACCGAGTCCTTCATCCAGTGGTCGCCCCAGGGAACCTACCTCACCTCCATGCACGCCCAAGGTGTCCAGCTGTGGGGCGGCAAGGCCTGGAGCCGCCAGAAGCGCTTCGCCCATCCCGGCGTCAACCTCGTCGACTTCTCCCCCAGCGAAAAGTACCTCACCACCTGGTCCCACCGCCCCCTCCAGGTCGACGAGAACCACCCCGTCCCATCGCTCTCGCTCGAGGAGGACGGCAAGAACTACATCATCTGGGACATTGCCACGGGCAAGCCTCTGCGCTCCTTTGCTACCATTGACGTCCCTGGCGGCATCGATGCCGAGGGCAACCCGGTCAAGAAGAAGCTGCAATGGCCGACGTTCAAGTGGTCCTCTGACGACAAGTATGTTGCACGCATGACCCAGGGCCAGTCCATCTCCATCTACGAGCTGCCGCGCATGAACTTGCTCGACAAGACTTCCGTCAAGATCGAGGGCGTCATGGACTTTGAGTGGGCCCCCGCAACGCCCCGTAGAGAAGGCATCAAGACGTACGAGCAGCTCTTCTGCTACTGGACCCCCGAGCTCGGGAGCAACCCCGCCAAGGTCGGCCTCATGTCCGTCCCGTCGAAGGAGATTGTGCGCACCCGAAACCTCTTCAACGTGTCAGACGCCAAGCTTCACTGGCAGTCGGAAGCTGCCTACGTCTGCGTCAAGGTCGACCGCCACTCCAAGTCCAAAAAGTCTCTCGCCACCAACTTGGAAATCTTCCGTGTCCGCGAAAAGGGTGTGCCTGTTGAGGTCGTTGACTCCATCAAGGACACTGTCATCAATTTCGCCTGGGAGCCCAAGGGCAACCGCTTCGTGCTCATTACCACTGGCGAAGTCATCCAGGGCGCCGCTGTTGGCCCCAAGACTGCCGTCTCTTTCTTCGCTCCCGAGAAGCTCAAGGGTGGCGCGCCTGGCAACTTCCGTCACATCCGAACCATTGACAAGAAGAACAGCAATGCCATCTACTGGTCGCCCAAGGGACGATTCGTCGTTGTCGCTGCTCTACAGTCGCAGCAGTCATTCGAACTCGAATTCTGGGACATGAGCTTCGACAGGCCAAAGGAGGAGTCCGAAAAGGGCGACAAGGAAGTCAATGCCAACTTGCAGCTCATGGATACGGCCGAGCACTACGGCGTCACCGACATTGAATGGGACCCGACTGGCCGCTATGTCGCCACAGTCGCTAGTGCCTTCCGTCATCGCGTATGTATCATCATCACTATTATGCTCTTTTGTCTCTGCTGACACGCACTAGATGGAGAACGGTTACCACCTCTACGACTTCAAAGGCACGCTGCTCCGCGAAGAAGCCATCGAAGGCTTCAAGCAGCTCCTGTGGCGCCCACGGCCCCCGACCCTCCTCTCCAAGGAGGAACAAGCCGAGATCCGCAAGAATCTGCGCAACTACTCCAAGGTCTTTGATGAACAGGATATTGCGAAGAAGAGCTCCGCCAACAAGGCTGTGGTGGAAGCTCGCCGCGAGATGCTGGATGAGTGGCGCAGGTGGCGCGAAGAAGTTACACAGAGGCTACGCGATGAGGGCGCCGACCTTGAGCTGGCATCTCTCAAAGGTGAGACGCCTGGTCAAGCGGATGATGGACATCAGGAAGAGATTGAGGAAATCGTAGAGGAGATTATCGACGAGACCGAAGAGGTTGTCAATTAGGTGGTCAAATGAGTAGAACCGAGTTGTGTGACAGCAATTTTAACCAGCATGCTAGGAGCACGTTGCTCCGGGCATATGGAATAACGAAGGTTACTAAGCTTACGTCCACTTACATCCGCCTTCTCTAATGTGTCCCTTGAATGGCGTTGCCGGCTTGTTTTTCGAAGATCGATTATGGTGGAATCAGGACTTACTTGCGTTCTACTTCGAGTGCGTGTGATAGTGTAACAATGTGCACACGAAGCTTCAACGCAATGTTAGCAGGAGCTCCAACTTGAAGCAAGGCCTAAGCCGTCGTTTGAGCGTCTGAGCCAGCCTTTGTCTCGCTGATGGTCTGCAGCTCGGGCGTCGCTCTTTGCTTTGATGCTATCTGACAGTTTCCCGGCCTTGCCTTTTGAGACAACGTAATGGTAATGTGTACATAGGCGATGCAATTAGTGACCAAGCGATGTCCTTCAATTGAGGCTTGTATTGAGATGAACTTGGGCTGTATTAAGGGTGCTTACGTGAAGGAGTGGGGACCTGCCTCCCGTTAGACATTAGTAATATGTGAGAGAGCGTTGCTGCGATAACATAGGATCTAAGTGACCGCTACACAGACTTAATTTTACAAGCTTGTACACCTTACACAGACGTGCTATAATAATTATAAAAGTTACAAGTATGTTACAGTCTAGCGATTAACCTATGCAATGTACCCAAACTTACTCTAGACTACGGTAATCTAGCTTATTTTCTCTTCCGCTCTTCTAATTTCGCTCTATAATCCTACTCGTGTTAGTACACTCTAAATCTCGCTCACCCTTTAGTCTCTGTGTGCTTACCTGACAGCTGATCCTTAAGCCCTCTTCCAAGCCGACTCGAGGCTTATATCCTAGCAGTAACCTCGCCTTCGAAATACTAACATAGCGGTCCCGACATCCGTCACTCACAATGCCCCGACTAAGCACACCCTCCGTCCCTGTCACCCAGCTAATCCATTCGGCACAATAGCCCAGACACCATGTCAATCCTTCTGGAACCCGGACGTGGAACTTTGGAACATGGCCGAACTCCTTCCACACAGCTATGCAAAGGTCCCTCGCCGTGACCGGCTCGCCGTTGGTAATGAAGATGGCCTCTCCAGCAGCTGTTTGCGAATTTAACAAGTTTCCAACGGCGAGGACATGGGCGTCTGCTATGTTTTCTACGTAGACGAAGTCCTGGAGATTGGTCCCTGTGCCTAGAATAAAGGGTGTCTGGCCGGCTGGGATGCATGAGTGTATCGTAGGGATGCACACAGTGTCGTTGCGACCGAAGATGGGTGCTGAGCGCAGGGCGCAGGTGGCGAAGTCATTCGTATTTGCGGAGAGCACAAGGGATTCAGCGAGTGCCTGCTATGCATGAGTTGGTTATACAGTACGGAGGTGAAGTGTGCGTTGTCGTGGCTAGAGCAGTACAGGGAGGTTTCATACAAATTGGAGGAAGAGCAACGGTGAATCGGCAGTATTCTCTGCACATAGGAAAGAGAACGTGAATAGAGTAAAACTTTGTTACCTTGCTTTGTCCATAGCTCGTATGTACACCTCCCGTGGGCCAATGCTCATCTACATTCCTGAAGTCGCGATCCAACTCGTCCAACACGACAGTCACGCTACTGGTATACACAAAGGCTTTTGTACCGCACTCCCTACTTGCTTCGACAACATTCCTTGTTCCCTCGACGTTTGTCCTGAAGATGGCCCCTTTGCCCTTCATGGAATAGCGCTTCGTCCCCAGAGGGAACACACCCACTGTGTGAATGACGACGGCAGGTCGAGCTTCGGAAAAGACGCTGTACAAGGAAGATGGGTCCAGAATGTCGCAACGAACATAGCGTACAGTGTTGGTAAAGGTGGTGCTACCGAGCGAAGGCGGGTTAACGTCTATGACGGTGATGGCGTATCTTCGGGTGCTCAAGAGTGCGGAGACGACGGCGGTGCCCAGGAAGCCACAGCCACCCGTTACCAGAACGCGTGTTGGCTCCATTACAGCGCATGGAAATTATCGCGGATGTTATTGCATAGAACTTGGTATGTTGTGGTTGCGCGCCGTAGTCGTTGGCGGTCGACGTCGCGGTGGACCTCGGGAAGAGCAGGATACATGATAGAAGCGGGTCGCGTCCGAGGATCGCCGCGCTTTCCCGCTTCGCATCAAACGCTTGTAATGCCAAACGTGCATTATCGTTGCATAGCAAATATACACGTCTGGTATATTATAATTAATTGTACGTCATGCCGGGCAATTTTTAAGCGATGCGAAAGTCTGCAGTTTGTCGCTGGTGTTACACTGCCGCCAAATCAACTTTCCTATAACGTGGACTGAGCAGACAGAGGTTGATAACAGCTATATCAAGCGCAACTCGACGTCCATTTTACGCAGGTGTGCATTTGTTGTAGTGCAAGAATTCTAGTGAGTTGGCTTTTACAGCTTTGAATACCGCCTGTGCAATCTCTGATTGATTTGCGATGCAGGAACAACATCGATCACCAAACAAAAATATTGCTTGATTGCCGGCGCCATGAGAGTCAACGAAAGCGAAGGCATGTAGTGAAAAGATCTGAACCCATGCTACGAGGCTAATTTTATCTAGCCATCTTGACACCTCGTCTGATCCTTGTGCCTTATAGCTTGCACCATGTCCCCACATACCACGAATGGATGCAAGATGAGGTAAGGCCTACCCAGCCTCCTATCTCTCCTAATATACGGCTGATTAGTGTGTAGGAATTGCAAACGCTTACAGCTTCTGAGCCGCTGACGCTTTCGGAGGAGTACGCTATGCAGTCCTCGTGGCGACGGGATGCAGATAAGTTGACTTTCATCATCTGCACTTCGCCACACACACCGCAAGCACTGTCGGATGTCTCTATACCTATTAGAGTCACTGGCAAGATAGACGACACGCCCAATCGTATGATTGGGGATGTGAACCTGTTTTTGTACCCGTCCGAGGACTGTAACGATGGCGCAGGGGAACAAGGCAAACACGAGACTGGGGAGATGGACGCGGTGGGCGAGTTGGAGATAATGATTGCCCGGCCTGACGCACGAGGAAAAGGGCTAGCAAAAGAAGCCCTACAGGCGTTCATCTGGTACATATCTACCTCGCTGCCAGCCATCCTGGACGAGTACGCGAAGGGAGCCAACAACAAAGACAAGCCCAAGTCTCTGAGCTACCTCCGTGTCAGAATCGACAAGGACAACATCCCGAGCCTCAGTCTGTTCAAAACGTTGGGCTTCAGCCAAGTTAGCGAACCTAATTACTTTGGGGAAGTGGAGCTACGGTCAGAGGTTGCAAGGCACGGGATAGACAAAGCTTGTTTGTTGGCAAAAAGCGTCTCGTACGAAGACTGATGAACAAACATGTCTGAGATGAGTAAATCCAAAATAGGAGATTGCATGACACGACGCAAAGAAATGTCATTGTTGAAAGCACCTGGCAATGTACACGATATAAAACACACGCTTCCGCTACCGGGTCTCCTGAAGCGCGCAAATACAGACCCCCTCTCCGTCTATTGGTTCGTCTTGCCGGAAGTGTTTGGCTTGGGGACGTGGTCGAGAATGCTCTTGTTTGGCGGTGGCTGGTAGACGATCTTCCTCGTCTTCAGCGGGGCCCACTTGTACCTGTCGTGGCTGTTAGTCATGTGGGTAAAGTGGCGGAGCTGCAAATACTTGCCTCTTGACCCAGACACTGAGGGCGAACAGAACACTGGTGACGGCAAGAACCTTCCAGCCCATCTTCTTACGGTCGTCCATCTCGGGCTCGGCGGTCCAGTTGAGGAACTCGACGACGTCCTTGGCCATCTGCGAAGTCGAAGCCTTGGTGCCATCATCGTATTCAACCAAGTCGTCGTACAGAACACGGGCCATGGCGATTCCAGTGCCGGGGAAGTAGGGGTTGAAGTTGAGGCCTTCCTGGACAACGGCACCAGCAGGCGGCTCCTCGGGGTAGCCGGTCAGCAAGCTGAAGATGTAGTTGCAGCCGCCGTGGCGGGCCTTGACCATGAGGGACAGATCCGGAGGCAGGGCACCGTTGTTGGCAGCGCGGGCGGCCTCGTCGTTCTTGTAGGGAGCGGGCATGTAGTCGGACAGCTTTCCGGGGCGCTTCTCGATTTCGCCCTGGTCGTTGGGCTCTGTGTCGTATTCGTTCTCCTCGGCCAGGGCCTTGGCCTCGTCAACCGTCATGAACTTGCCGACGACGGCGCGGTAGGGCACACGCGAGATGGAGTGGCACGAGGCGCAGACCTCGCGGTAGACCTGGAAGCCGCGGCGGAGACTGTGACAGGTTAGGGGGCGGGCATGTGCGGTGCGGTGGGGAAGACGTACGCTCCGTGGTCGAAGGTCTTGTGCCACTTCTCGTGCTCCCACGGGTATTGGGTCGGGTGGAGGCTGTACAGGCACGACGTCAGTACATGGCCGCGGGCCGGGCTATCTGGGGCGCACTCACCCTTCTTCGGCGGGGGTCATGGCATCGACGTGGCGTCCGTAGAGGTGCCAGTACCAGGCAGTCGAGCCGACGGCGAAGAGAGTCGCTCCGGCGGGCAGGGCGTTGTTCTTCCAGGCCGAGGCGGCGCTGTCGGCGGAGGACCATGTCGAGGCGAAGCGCTGTATCACGCACTGGGTCAGCCAGATGATTCAATGGAAGCGGGGGCTGGCCCGAGTATGGCAGCCGGGCCAGCAGTACGGCGATGCAGCTTGCGCCAGCTGCCGGGAGATGCTGGGCCATGCGGGAGGCGTACCGGTTTGCTCGAGGCATTGCGGGCGGCGGCGGCGGCGGAGCGTGCCGTACGCAGTGGTGAGCGAGCCAACATGGTCATGAGAAGCTGGCTCGGGGCTGGGGGAGACGCGAGCAATGGGTTGGCGGCGATGGTGATGCGGCGGAGAACTGGTGCGAGACCATTTTCCAATTTCCAAGCTAACTAATCCACATCACGTGCGCTATCATTGGACGAGGCTGCCATGACGCCTCCGGACTGTATTTTGCTCTCGCACATCGCCTTGCATGCGAAGGCGAGTGTATCCGAGAGGTGCAGGCTGCGACTGGCAGTGCGGCATCACATGGCATGGCAGGCAGTGCAGAGGGTCCCGCGTGGAAGAGACTTCGTCCGTGATACGCAGCAATGTAGCCCTACTTCTATACCCTTTCGCTCATGCAGGAATTGCAAAAGGGCTCAAACGAGGGCTGCTTCTCTCTAGCAAGACTGGCAGTGCCGGGGCAGTGCCAGAACACACGGCGTCCCCAGGAGCGGGAGACGTCGTCGAGCTTCTTGCGTGCTGCCGGAACGCAACGCGACGTCGGCCTGGCTTATATAGTGGACACGGCCCCGATGCGAGCTAGGCTGCATCTGGCCGCGAAGAGAGCGCTGGAGGACGTCGAGCTCTCGCGGCGCAGGGGACAGGTCGCGACACAGCACACGAGAAGCCAGATGCACCGCTTCACCTACCATGGACGTCTTCTGGCCGCTCCCAGCCGCCGACTGAAGCCACGGCGGACGCTACTGCACACGCTCACACCGAACGCGCGACTCTCTCCTCCCCCCACCAACAGCCCTCGCCCGGTCCCTCGTCCCCCACCACCCTCCCGTCACCCTGCCCTTGTCCCCGCAAGGCACTGTTCCCACCGACGAAACATGTGCAAGCACTTCGGCGCAGAGGGCCACGCGTCCATCGACATCACCAAGGGTCGCGAGGTGCTGCCCGCCAACGTCAAGCCCATCCACTACGACCTGACACTCGAGCCCGACTTTGCCAACTTCACCTACCAGGGCACCGTCACCATCGAGTATGTGCCCGTCCGCCCGTATGAGGAGGGCCCTGCTGACACTCGGCCAGTCTAGATGTCGTCGACGACACCACGTCCATTGCCCTCAACACCAACGAGCTCAAGATCCACTCGACCAAGGTCACGGCCGGCCAGCAAGTCATTACCGAGTCGCCCCATGTCGCCACCGACGACGATGCGCAGACGACCACGGTCAGCTTCGACCAGACCATTCCGGGCGGTAGCCAGGCGAAGCTCACCATGGCATTCGCCGGAGTGCTGAACGACAACATGGCCGGCTTCTACCGCTCCTCCTTCAAGGCTGCCGACGGCTCCACCACGTACATGGCCACGACGCAGATGGAGCCCACAGATGCCAGGCGGGCGTTTCCTTGCTTCGACGAGCCCGCGCTCAAGGCCAAATTCACCGTCACCCTCATCGCCGATGAGAAGATGACCTGTCTCAGCAACATGGACGTAGCGTCGGAGAAACAGATCCAAAGCACCATCTCGGGCGGAAGGCGCAAGGCCGTCACCTTCAGCCCGACGCCTCTCATGTCGACCTACCTCCTGTGCTTCATTGTCGGTGAGCTCAACTACATCGAGACGAACAACTTCCGCGTCCCTGTGCGAGTCTATGCGCCAAAGGATCGAGACATTGAGCACGGCCGCTTTTCGCTCGAGCTGGCGGCAAAGACGCTGGCATTCTACGAAAAAACCTTTGACAGTCCCTTCCCGCTGCCCAAAATGGACATGGTCGCGATTCCCGACTTCAGTGCAGGTGCCATGGAAAACTGGGGCCTCGTCACATATCGTGTCGTCGACGTGCTCATTGACGAAAAGGTCAGCGGGGCAGCTACCAAGCAGCGCGTCGCCGAGACGGTGCAGCACGAGCTTGCCCACCAGTGGTTTGGTAATCTCGTGACCATGGACTTCTGGGACGGCTTGTGGCTTAATGAAGGATTTGCAACGTGGATGTCGTGGTATTCCTGCAATGTCTTCTACCCTGACTGGAAAGTCTGGGAAGGCTATGTTACAGACAATCTAGCCAGCGCACTCTCGCTCGACTCGCTACGAAGCAGCCATCCCATCGAGGTACCGGTAAAGCGCGCAGACGAGATAAACCAGATCTTCGATGCCATCTCATACTCCAAGGGCTCGAGTGTCATCCGCATGATCTCCAAATATGTCGGAGAGGACACCTTCATGGAAGGAATCCGCCGGTATCTCAAAAAGCACGCCTATGGCAACACAGAGACTGGTGACCTCTGGGCTGCCTTAGCAGATGCCAGCGGCAAGGATGTTGGCAAGGTCATGGACATCTGGACCAAGAAGGTCGGCTTCCCAGTCGTTACCGTCACGGAAGGCACTGATTCCATCCACCTTAAGCAGAACCGCTTCCTCCGCACTGCCGATGTCAAGCCAGAGGAGGATCAAACCCTGTACCCCGTATTCCTTGCGCTGCGGACCAAGGAAGGAGTTGACGAAGACTTGACGCTTTTCGATCGTGAAGCCGACTTTAAGCTCAAGGAACTCGACTTCTTCAAGCTTAATGCGGACCACTCTGGCCTCTACCGGACCTCGTACACGCCAGAGCGCCTACGGAAGCTGGGCATCTCGGCCAAGGAGGGCCTCTTGACCGTTGAGGATCGAGCTGGCATGATTGCTGACGCAGGCTCGCTGGCGGCATCTGGCTACCAGAAAACGTCTGGTATACTCTCGCTCCTTGACAGCTTCAAACACGAAGCAGAGTTTGTCGTCTGGGGAGAGATCACGGGTCGTATTAGTTCCCTCCGGGGTGCATGGATGTTTGAGGACCAGAAGATCCGGGACGCTCTGAAGAAGTTCCAGTTGGAGCTCAGCGCAGAGAAGGCACATGAGCTGGGATGGACATTCAATGAAAAAGACGGTCACATCGAGCAGCAGTTCAAGGGTCTCATGTTTGGTGCTGCCGGTATCGCTGGCGACGAAGAGATTACCAAAGCATCATTTGACATGTTCGACAAGTTCAAGGCAGGCGACAAGTCTGCCATTCACCCCAACATCCGCGGCAGCGTGTATGCCATTGTGCTAGCGAATGGTGGGCAAGAAGAGGTAAGCAGTGCTACGAGGATGAATGGAATGCAGGCTGACCAGACGCAGTACGATGTCATCGTCAACGAGACTCGGAATGCCGCTACAAGCGACGAGCGCAACTCGGCTCTTCGCGCACTAGGCCGTGCCAAGTCTCCAGAGCTCATTCAGCGCACGCTTGCCATGGCTCTCAGCGACGAAGTCAAGGGCCAAGACATCTACTTGCCCATTGCAGCATTGAGGTCACACGCGGAGGGCTGTCATGCGCTCTGGAAGTGGGTCAAGGATAACTGGGAGGAGCTGGAGAGAAGGCTCCCCCCTAGCCTGAGCATGCTGAGTTCGGTGGTTGCCATTACAACATCAGGCTTCACCCACCGGGAACACATAGAGGACATTGAGGCGTTCTTCAAGGGCAAGAGCACCAAGGGCTTTGATATGGCGCTGTCCCAGAGCATCGACGCCATCAGCGCCAAAGCCGCATGGCTTGAGAGGGATGCGGACGATGTCAAGACGTGGTTGAAGGAACACAAGTATCTGCAGTAGGCGCCCCTGTCGGTGCACTGTTGTGAGAAATGGCTGTACAATATAGATGAAGAAATCAAAGACCCATGCCGCCAACGGTATGAATAAGAGTGCGCGATACCCAGGGAGCCGGTGCGTGATGAAGCTAGCATGTACCATGAATCTGTCCAGAAGGGTGGCTACGTCAGCTTGCCGAACGTGGGACCGCCAGTTCGGCCATGCAGGTGGCTCTGTGAAGAGTACAATCGGAACGCCACCACCTCACGTTGACTTTGTGGCGCTCGAGCATTGTATCGCAATAGACACAGCGCCAGCCTCCACGATACTTGCAAGGGTTGTCGGAAGCTCGGTATCGAGTTGCGCGCAGCCGCCAGAGCCGTCATGGCGCAAAGGATGCCGCGATCCGGCACACGCGCAGACGCGAACCCAGACGCAGACGCAGACGCGCTCGCGCTAGATGACACGGTAGAGCTCGAGCAGTTCCGCCGCTCACCCCATCCATACCTGCGTCACGGAGACCAGACACAGAGGCAGTCACCAGGCCCGACGCATCGCGCCCCTCGGCCCTCGCAGTCGCGACCCTCTTCCGAGCCTCCAGGCAAGACAATGCACGACAAGGACGGCAGGACACGCAGGAAACGGGCACCGCACTCCCCGAGCGAAAGCGGCACCGAAGCCGACGACGAGGGCTACAGCCTCGTCAAGGCGCTGCCTGCTCCTCCCCTGCGACCGCACAAAGGCCTCCGCGAATCGCGGACGTCGGGCCCAGACGAATGGGCGAGTCCGCTGCTCACTCCCACACAGATCGACGACGAGGGGAGAAAGCTCTTCGAGGGCTACTTCGCTCGCACCAACCGGACGAGGCGCAAGGGAGACGCATACCACAGCGACGACGACGAGGCGAGGAGGGCCAAGCAAAAGTATCTCCAGCGGCGGCGCAACGAGCTGGTCAGGCGAACGACCGAAACTGCATTGCTCGCGGGCATTGCCACGCTCGCCGTCCGCGGTTGCGACTGCTGGGTCAATTTGCTGGCATGGCATAGAGGTCAGCTCACCCCCCACGCATGGGCCCAAGGTCGTTAACCCGTGTCTAGTAGAATTGTTGACGCACGTTGCAATCATGGCCGGCGTCTTGGGACTGTATCCGCTTCGTCTTCTGTACTACTCATGGAGAAATCACTCTCGTCTCCGGCTTGGCCGTCGAATACATCTACCAGCCGCCTTCGATCCTGCCACCATCCTCTACCCCCCAATACTGCCCGTCCTCATTGCGCTGTCACTCTTTGCCTCATCACCAAAGCCTCTTCTACCCAACATGTTGCTCGGCTTAGCTGCGTTGCCAGCCAGACTTATTCCCTTCAGGAGCGCTACCTTGGGCTACTCTCCTCTGCACTGGCTGGTCTCCATCATGCCCCTGATCGCTGCCGAGAACACCGACATACCGTCTCGGCTGTTTGCACAGACACCATACAAACTCAAGTTACCCCCGCCTAACCAAGGTCTAGATCCCGAACTTCTGGTGACGTTGTTTGCTCTGCATCAAGCGCTGCTACCGCCGCTATACTACCTCACCACTACGAGCCTTCTACCAGCAGAGCTGCACCTGCTTTCAATTGGGCTTATCAACCTCCTCTTGTTCTCAGACACCCCTCAAGCAGCCATACTCGGTGTCTTACTGTGGCTAGGCGGGCTGGGGGTGTTTTTGCTCTGCGGCAACATCTTGAAGTGGGGCGTTGCACTTGCACGCATTCCGCGATGGAGGCTTCGACGTGCTGGCCAAGTCATTCGAGCTCGACAGAACTTCTTGCAGGTCTTGACCCGTAGTCTGGGATCCAAACGCGATGGAAGCGATTCCTGGAAAGATGTGAGTGACAGTGATGCGGATGAAGAACCCAGATTCGACAAGCCCCTCCAAAAGACCAAGAGCCTTAAACTCAACGTTTTAGACTCGGTCAGACACATCAGACCCTGCATGGAGGGCAGCGAGCCGCGGTCCGCCGCCGAAGCGACAAAGACTGGTTTTCAGCAGTCTACTTCTGCAGCAGGGTCCACTCCTAACAGTGGACGTAAGCGTAGGAATACCCTCCCAGTCCTCGTTGCTGAAGACCATACGTCACAGCATCGGTATTCGAACCGAAGACAGTCGGGATCGATTGTGCAGTCTTATTTATCGCTCACGCCCACCGAAGCCACAAGGAGGAAATGGCTCTACGCTGGATACTTCTACGTGATTGTGGTAGGCCTGATACTGGGACCAATTCGGTATAGTATCGGCAAATATGCTCTTCACCAACACGAACCTTTTGGATGGGCCATCAGCTACCTCTTCGGCAATATATCACGCGTGCGGTGGGAAGTGTTCACGTGGGATTTGAACTGGTGGGTTCCTCTGCCGACAAGACGGCACGCAGATGACATGGCCCGACTCACACACCATCTGTCGTTGGCGGAATATGTTCGCCGCATAGTACTGGGAGAAGCGACTACGCGTCTCTTGCTGTGCGTGTACTGTGCAGGAACCATACTCGCTGGCCTCGTAGCGGTCTTTTCGCTTTCTGCAGTGGTAGAAGTCGACACACGCAGAAAGGTGTTCCACGGCACCATGGTGGCGATGCTCCTGCCGACCATCTTCATCGACCCTTGTTTTGTTGCGCTGGCGCTTGCACTGGTACTTGCGATATTCCTCCTCCTCGATCTGATTCGCGCCTCGCAGCTTCCGCCGCTGTCCAAGCCCATTGCCAGGTTCCTGACGCCGTACGTGGATGGCCGCGATCTCCGAGGCCCCGTGGTGGTGTCGCACATCTTCCTCTTGATTGGGTGTGCGATCCCGCTGTGGCTATCGCTCGCAGGAGTGGAACGGGCTGGCGACGAGCCGTGGCAAGGCTGGGAGGTGGAAGACAGGGACGTGAGTATGGTGGCGGGAGTTATATGTGTGGGCATGGGCGACGCAGCAGCATCCCTCGTCGGGCGGCGCTACGGGCGGCGGAAATGGCCCTGGGCAGGCGGCAAGTCCCTGGAAGGGTCCTTGGCGTTTGCAGTCGCAGTGTCGGCTGGACTCGTGGTAAGTAGAGTGTGGCTCCGCGTCGGGTGGGAAAGCGGTGCGGCAGGGCACAGGACAGAGGGCGAGTGGGCTCACGACGCATTGCTCACGCTGGGCAAGGCGGCTCTGTGCGCGACAGGCGCAAGCCTCAACGAGGCGGTCCTCACAGGCGGCAACGACAACGTGATCGTGCCAGTGATACTATGGGTGCTTGTGAGGGGTGTCAGGCTGTAGGCAGTCGACGCCGCCGCATCAGGCGGGCTGCAGGTACGGCGTAGGTAGACGGGTCGACCCGACCATGAAGCCGGCCACATGGTCGTTCGCGCAGGGGAGCATGACTTGCATTCAGAATGCGTGCGACCAGACAAGAGGCATGTTGGAGCGTGCAGGCGGGCGATGTGGTGCTAGCGCATGAGGGGCACGCGTCGTTATCAAGCATCCCGGCCGGCTTCCTGCATGTGACACGCGCACGCCTGCCTCGAGCCACGGCGTCGGCCTCTTGTATTGTACTGCCTGTGGTGCTCCTCGCTCCCCCGACACGCTGCGCTCGCGATACCCTACATACTCTCCCACTCGTCTCTGCCGCCCTGCGCCGAACCTCTTCTCTCCCGCGCCCAGCTGCTCGTCGCGCCCTGCATCCCCGTCCCTCGGCCATCCATCACCACCATCGGCCGCCCTCGACCACCGCCCGCCTCCCGCCAGCCCATGTCCAACGCCCTCACGGCCGCGCTGTACCCACGTCTTCGCTGGTAGCTGACGCCCGGCTGCTCAGCCAGCGCCGCCGACCATGGCAACACCCCCCAACCCGCTCGCCCCCAGGCGGTCGGGCGCGTCGCCGCCAGTGTCGACGCCCGCAGCCACGGGCTCGGAGCAGGTCATCGGAAAGTTCAAGCGCCTGCATCACATTGGCAAGGGCAGCTTCGCCGAAGTCTACCGCGGCATTCACATTGTACGTTGCTGCCCTCCCTTGCCCGGGGCGTGCACCGAGTGCTAACTGTCTCGCCGCACAGGAGAAGCGCCAGTCCGTCGCCATCAAGTCGGTCAATATGAACAAGCTCAACAAGAAGCTCAAGGACAACCTCGTCTCGGAAATCTCCATTCTGCGCAGTCTGCACCACCCGCACATAGTCTCGCTCATCGACTGCCACGAGACGCCGTCCCGCATGCACATCATCATGGAGTTCTGCGAGCTCGGCGACCTGTCAGCCTTTATCAAGAAGCGCGCCGACCTCGTAAACCACCCGCAGACGCAGCGCATGATAGAAAAGTACCCGAACCCGACCGTTGGCGGCCTGCACGAGGTTGTCGTCCGCCACTTTGCCAAGCAGATGGCGAGCGCCCTGGAATTCCTGCGGTCCAAGAACTACATTCATCGTGATCTCAAGCCCCAGAACCTGCTCCTCAACCCCTCCTCCATCTTTTACTCGCAGAGTGGCACCCTCGAACGCATGCCTCTGGCTGCCAGCGCCAATTCCTTGATACCCGCCACCGGCATCGCCTCGCTGCCCATGCTCAAGATCGCTGATTTCGGCTTCGCTAGAATTCTGCCGACTACCTCGCTGGCCGAAACCCTGTGTGGCTCTCCCCTCTACATGGCACCTGAGATTCTGCGGTATGAAAAGTACGACGCAAAGGCCGACCTGTGGTCTGTGGGAACTGTGCTCTTCGAAATGATGTGCGCCCGACCGCCATTCAGGGCGAACAACCACGTAGAGCTACTGCGCAAGATTGAAGAGCGCAAGGACCAGGTCAGATTTCCAGAAGGCCTCGTCTGCACCAGGGCCATGAAGACCCTTATCCGCGCACTCTTGAAGCGAAAGCCAACCGAACGCATGTCATACGAGCATTTCTTCTCAGATGCCGTCATTCGCGATGAGATTCCAGACATGGTCGATGAGGACCTTCCGGGTTCTATGCAAGCGTCTGAGCGTATGCAAACCTCCGTATTAGAACCACCCATTGAGCCACCCCAGCGAGTCCACAAGGCGCCCCTCGAGCTGGAATCCAGGCCTACTGACAGTCCATACTCGATCTCGACCAGGGACAGGACGACAGGCCTTGGGACAACACCACCTTCACGGCCGGCTTCTCGACCTGTATCCGGCAACTTCTCAGGCACTCCACCGCAATATCTGCCTGCAAGACGAGCTAGTAACGCCCCTATTGAGCCCAACGACGGACGCACTCCAACGCGTGAGCATCGTCGGCCTACGCTCACCAACGCTGCAACCGCACCAGGACGTACTGCGACGCTGCAAGACCAGACGACAGCACCTACTGCCACCAGCCACAGGCGCAAGTACTCTCGCGACGAACAAGGCCCGCCATACATCGGTCTCAAGGAGCACCTGGATCGCGAGCGAATCCCACAGAGGACGGAAGCAAACGTGTTGAAAGAGGCGGCAGAGCGAGCAGCACAAGATAACGCGCTTGACGAGGGGTTTGTCTTTGTGGAAAAACGGCGTGTGGAGATTGACGCACTGGCAGACGAGATTGCGAATAGTCCACAAACACAGCGGGATCGTCCCCTCCACCGGGAAGCAGCAATGAAGCGACGATCGACAACGCAAGGGTCGCCAACATCAACCACTGGCGCAGTCCCCTCGAAAGCCATCCAGATTCAGCAAAAGCCTACCATTACGCACCAGCGCACAGCTTCTTACAGCCGGCGACAATACCGCCCAAGCTTTGAAACCGCCACCTCTGCTCTTTCCAAGGCTATGAACATGGTCAATATCCGAGGGCTTGGTCTGTCTCCGCCGGTCATGAAGGGCGTCTCACCCCCACAGGGCTATTCCGCATTCCCAGCCTATCCCACTGCGCAAAGCAGCATGCTAATGGTCGGCGATGGAGGCAAATCCGTTGGCAAAGATGAAGATACCATGACGGTCAAAAGGATTGAGGATCTGGCCCAGCTCAGCCACGTTGTATATGGCTTCGCTGAAGTCAAATACAGTCAGCTTGTTCCGGTTGCACCAAGCGACCCAGCTTTAGGAGTCGGTTCCACTGGCGTTGCTCGCAAGCCCAACAGCGATGTGATCGACGATGACGATGACGACGAAGATTTGACGCCTGATACTATTCTCATCATTTCCGAGGAAGCGCTGGTACTCTTCGTCAAGACGTTGGCAATGTTGAACAAGGCTATGGACCTGACTGGCAGCTACTGGAATCGCGCCCGCCGTAATAGTGGCCCCGACGGAACAAGCCGAACCAATGCAAAGCTGGGTCAGGTGGTCTCATGGATGCGAGATCGATTCAACGAATGCTGCGTCAAATCTGAGATTGTCGCACGTAAGCTCAAGCAGGCACAGGGGCAGCTACCGGCAGATCATCCAAGCCATCCTCACAATCAATCGGCGGCATCCAGCTCTGCAACTGCTGTAGGTTCCGCGGAGAACATTCTACTTACGACTGGTGTTACCGCTGAGAAACTATTATATGACCGGTCGCTAGAGATGAGTCGCCAGGCAGCCATTGATGAACTCACTGGACACAACCTGGCGGACTGCGATATCAACTACTGGACTGCCATCACGATGCTTCAAGCTGTTCTTGAAGAGGAAGAAGAATCGTCCAACGAGAAGGCTGATGCCGAGGAGATTAATGGCCTCGACGGCGAAGATCGGCGCTCGATCCAGAAGCGTAAGTCTCGCTACAGTGTCCCCAAAGTGTACCCAACTAACCAACGCAGTCCTTGAACAAATGAGAAGCCGGCAACGGGCTCTTAAGAAGAAACTCGACGTTGTCAAGACTCAAAAGCGCACTTCTATCACTAGTGCGCCTGCACAACATTCCGTGGGACGCAGCTCTTCTTCCCAAGGTGTCGCAAAGTAGTCATGCATCGTACAAAACCACCTTTTCAAGTATCAAACTTACAACTGCTTGTTTTCGCACCTAGGGACGGCACTATCCTTACGAGCCCCTGCTCTCTGTGTATGGGTTTATCATTCGGTATTCTTTGCGTGGTTTGGGACAACGGGGCGTCATGAAAGGCATTGGCGCACTCGCATTCGTTCGCATATGATACCAGGATCTTGAATAGCAACGACGTGCAATTTTTCTCATTATCAGGCGTTTGAAATGAATAGCGGGTTCAGGCGCACGGTTGGGTTGGCATTCTGCTATGGAGGGACAGTGCTTGCATTGGTTGTGGGCTGGCCTTTGAAGCAATAGAACGTGTATCGAGACTTGCACGAATTATTAGTAGCTGGGGAATAACAAGAAGTGGTCAGTGTATCGAACTTGCAGACCATGCAGCAGACATGAAATGTGACACCTGCAGTCTGAATTCCCTGTTTACCATCATACGCGCAACCTCAGGTAGTGCCAGTAGATACCGGAGCTTTGCAAATGTTCAGCCCACATGACCATCCAAGCTAATGTACAAGCATGACGTTGCTCCACGCAATGAGCTCGGGCGTCCGTCTCGAGACCGCGTTTTCAAGAAATGGAAATGCTTATGATCTTAATATCCTCCTCCGGCTTCTCTTTGTATACTTTGGTATTCTCGATTTTGTGAATAACATCCATCCCAGCAATCGCTCGTCCGAAGATGGTATGCTTGTTGTCAAGCCAGGGCTGCATACATGTCACAGTCAGCGCACCGCCTCATCGTGAAACTGAAAGTAAACGAGAAGACAAGGACTTACCGTCTTTTCGGTGGTAATGAAGAATTGACTTCCATTCGAATTTGGGCCGGCATTCGCCATGCTCACTGTGTAGGCTTTGTCGTGTCTCAAGTTGGAGAACTCATCTGCAAACTCCTTGCCCCAAATACTCTCTCCACCAGTGCCGTCACCAAGTGGGTCACCAGTCTGTATCATGAATTTGCGGATCACGCGGTGGAATATGACGTTGTTGTAGTAGTTGTTGCGCGCGTGTGTGACGAAGTTTTCCACGGCCTTGGGAGCGGCGTCCGGGAAGAGACGGATGGTAATATCGCCGTAGGTGGTGTGGAGAGTAGCTGTAGTGCCTGTTGCGGCGAGTGCTTTGTCGTCTCTTTGTTTGCTGGAGGCAGCAACGCGAGGCTTTTCGTTCTGCACATCACGGGTCGACTTGGTAGCGCTGGCATCGTTAGTGTACATGTAGAAACGGACCTTGCCAGAACCTGTAGTGACGAGCATGGCATCTCTGGCCTCGGCTTCCTGTAGTAACGGGTTCTCGCTCGCTGCCATTTCGACAGTGACAACACCCTTTTTCTCTGGTTGCCCTTGGTAGAGGCACAGCCATAGCGGTCTGATGGATTCTTCCTGGCCGTACAGCTTCACGAGCTTGTTGGTCAGTGTGTTGATCACTTTGACGCCGTACATGCTGCCGTACAGGATGAAATTGCTTGTCTCATCAAATGTCACATTCATGCGACACCTCGCCATAGGCTGGTCGAGCTCTCTTTCGATGGCTAGGCGTCGACCAAACTCCATGTCTTCCAGATGCTGGACAGCGGTACCAGCCTGTTGCATGCTGGTGATGGTCTCGATTGATTCGTCGTACGTGCGATGAAGTTTGCCGGTGGCAAAGTCGAAGACGCGGACCTTGCGATCCGGGAATGAAAGCGTCGCAAACTGCTTCCCCGTGGGAGATATGGTAAGCGACGAGGGCACACTTTTTGACTTCTTGAAGTCGAACAGACTGGTAGAGCTCTTCAGCCTCCAAACATTGTCTGGCTTCTCAAAGTTTCCATTGGGCCTCCAGTATTCCACCATACCACCTTGATCGACGCTCACAACACAGTCGAATTCACTATTGTATGCCATTAGGTTCACTGACGCCCTGTGAACGCTCCTGAGCATGTGTAACGGCTCTGGATTCTCCCCTCTGCCATCGTAAATGCGGATCCAACTGTCTTCTTCGGAGCTGACGGCCAGTTGAGGAAAGCTTGCGCCTCGGCCGTGCAGCCAGCAAACCGCTCTAGGCGTGTACTCGACGCTCAGCATGGCCAGCAGATCGAAGGTGACGACATCGAAGATCTTGATTGTCTTGTCCGAGCCGGAGGTAGCAAAGCTACGGCCGTCGGCGCTCACGTTGACAGACTTGATCTCGCCGGTATGCGCCCTGAATTCTTTGACAAACTCTACGCCGCCAAAGTCCTTTTTCCAGAACTTGACCACGCCGTCGACAGAGCTCGTTATGAGGAAGTCGGTGTGGGGGGTAAAGGTGGTAAAGCACAATTGCTCGCGGTGCATTAGCGATTTGGAGTAGCGGGTCGCGCCGGGCAGCGCAGCGACGTAAAGCTTCTCGTAGGGCAGTTTGCGCTTTTTTCGCTTCGGCGCTGAAGACGGAAGGGCGGGACCAAAGTCATCGTCGGAGGAGGAAGTATCGTCTGGGGAGGTTGTTAGGAACTTGACGCGCAACGGATGCACAAGGGACATACCGTCGTCCAGAGCCTGCACAGGAGCTTTCTTTGCAGAGACGGCGCTGTCAGCCTCCATTTCGGTACGCGAGCGCTTTGCCTTGCTCGGCGACTGAGACCCGTCCATTTCCATCATGGGCATGCAATTGAGACCGCCGGGGTGGTGCGGGTTGGTTGTCGCAGGCCCAAGCTTGGGATGATCGAATGATGCCGCGTCTAAACGCGTGACGTTGCACTATCACACGCGCTTGTCGGACAGTCGGAGAGTTTTGCGGGATACGTCAGGTACGCTAGCACGCCGTTCACGGGTATCCATGCATTGTGATTACGCCTCAGCAGAATACTGTTGTCATGTTCGCAGACGGTGTGGAAAGCCCACCCATTGCTTTCTTTTCTCTTGTTTCAATTTCAAGTGCTATCATAACGCAAGGGCATCGCCTGCTCTTCTGGCGCTGTGCGAGGAAATGTATGTACGCATTGGACTCATCACGAATCGGATAAACAGAGTGGGGCAGACGAATCATTGCTCCAGCCTCTTTCTATGATGCTATCGTACATGATGCCCATGGCTAATCTTCACATCATCATTACCATCCAAGCGTAGGTGCTGGCTCATAGCTTCTGGTAGTCCAGCTTGCCCTCTAGCTTCTTCGACTCGGCCATCTTCCGCACTGCCTTGTTGAAATCGTCCTGGTTGATCGAGTCTCGGTAGTCTTTGATGGCGAAGAGGCCGCTGCGATGTGTTAGCCATGTCACAGTTACACGGAAGAGACACTTACGCCTCGGTGACAACGTTGCGAAGGTCGGCACCGTTCATGCCATCGCTCATCTTCACAATGCTCTCGAAGTCGATCTCGCCATCCGTCACTACGCTGCCAGAGTGAATTTTCAGAATCTCGAGACGGCCCACTTCGTTGGGTAGGGGGATTTCGAGTTTGCGGTCAAGACGCCCGGCGCGAAGCAGAGCGGGGTCGAGCGTGTCGGGTCGGTTCGTCGCCATGATGATCTTGGTCTGCCCTAGGTAGTCGAAGCCGTCGAGCTGGTTCAGCAGCTCCATGAGGGTTCGCTGAATCTCACGGTCTGCCGACGTTCCCTCGGAGAAGCGACGACCGCCAATAGCATCAATCTCGTCCATGAAGATGATGCAGGGCTCGTGCTCCTTTGCGTACCCAAACATCTCACGGATGAGACGCGCCGATTCTCCGATGTATTTGTCGACAATGGCAGAGCTGACGACCTTGAGGAAGTTTGTCTCGAGACTGCTCGCCACGGCGCGTGCCAGGAGTGTCTTGCCCGTGCCTGGCGGTCCGTAGAGTAGCACTCCCTTTGGCGGTTTGATGCCTACCCGCAGAAACAGCTCGGGGTTCTTCAACGGCAGTTCGATGACCTCGCGTAGCTCCCTAATCTGCTCGTTCAGGCCGCCGATGCCGCCGAAGCTGACCTGCCCTGGGTCTTCGAGCGACATGTTGTAGACGAGCGGGTCGACTTCGCGGGGAAGCATGCGCATGATGGTGAGTGTCGTCATATCGAGGGCCACGCGTGTGCCTTGCTTGAGCTTGGCCTTGTCGACCTTGGACCGGCATCCGACGACGTAACGGGGCCCCGAGGATGCCTTGACAATGACTGCGGCGACGTTAGTGTGGCGTCTTTTGGCAGGATGCACACGTGCACGTACATCGCTCCTCGTCCAACTGCTTCAGCACCTCTCCTATTATCTGGCCGACGCTCTGCAGCGCCTTGATGTTGTCTTCGGATACGTCGAAGTCGTGCTGCAGGCCCTTGATGTCCAGTCGCAGCGCCTTGAGCTTGGCCTCCCATTCTCTAGACTCGAGCAGCTTGGACTTGTAGGCCTCGAGAGCGTGCTCGCGCTCCTGGTCGCCGCTTCCGCTCATGGTGGACATGTGCGGCGGCGTGGGTGACGTTGCGGAGGAGCGGCGGCGTGTGGAGGCGGAGGTGATGGCACGCGTGAGGGCGGCGGGCGGTACTTTAAGGCAGCCGAGTTTGCTGCAGAGTCAAGACGGCGTGAATGTGTGCGCAGCCAGCGAAAGGGTCTATCCGCGTTGGGTGGAGTGAGTGTCGGAATGGGAGACGTCGGTGGTGATGGCCACGGCGATGGCCTTGGTGTTGTCCATGTATGTGAGCGAGCTTGGACCAAGACGCCATTTCCGCGGCGAAAGTTAGCCTTCGAAAAAAGTTGGCCGATCAAATTCCTGCAACCACACCCGCAACCGCAATGTCGTCGTCCTTCTTCACCGCGCCGGCCTCACAGCGCAAACGCAAGCGCAGCGAAGCCACCGCCGGCGCCCCCAAACGACGCACCACAGACGCGCATGCTCGCCGCATGCAGCGCGAGGAGTCCATCAGCGGCAGCGACACATCCGAGGGCGACGGCGCACCCACGTTCGACGGCGGCGACGATGCAGACAGCGGCGCTAGCTCTTCGGAAGACGAGCACGAGACGGCGGCGGACAAGCGCCTCAGGCTG